TGCCATTTCCTCGCGCAATGCGCGTAAGTCATTGTGGAGGTCGGGCTGGGCTCCGTCGGCGTTCGGCCGGACCTCTTGTATCACAGGCTCCGGTTGTGTCTGAGGCATTCTGTATGGGTATCGTTTTTGGCCGGTCATGACGGGATTGTTCTCGGGGTTGGGGATCGGTTGAGTCGATGTCGATGGTCGTTTGCGTGTTACTACCATATCTCGGTCGCAGTTGTAGAGTTAAAAGGGGCTGAAAACGTCTCTTCGTCCCCACGGTGGGCGCCAAATGTTCTTGTGTTAGGATACATAATTCACTTATCCTTGTTGTAGCGGGTCTGATCCTAGGTCTCGGTCTTCTCGTTCCTATCCATGTAGACCGATGTGAGGGGGGTGTGCCTGCAAAGACACTCCAACGCTCAAGTAAGTGCTCGGCGTAATAAATGTGGTAGTTGAAAGTTAGTTACGTACCTCGCTGGGGTCTTATTTATAGTGATTCTTATTGGGCCGCGATTAAGGACTGGGCCCCGGGAAATTAGGGGGCTAATCCGGTGCATTACAAAAATTAACCTCTCCATAATTATCCTGGCGTAAATACGTGACTTGGCCGAGCACACCGACACGTTCCGTTCAGATTGTGAGTGGTCGGTGGGCTTGGGTATTCGACCTGGTCATCCACGAACTCGGGTATTCGGCCTAGTCGGCCATGAATTCGGGCATTTGGCCTAGTCAGCCACGAACTAGGGTATTCGGCCTAGTCAGCCACCATACGGTATAGTTAATAATTTTCGGGGTGTGTTGTAATGTTGCATCTACCATTTTAAGTATATATAAAAAAAAAAGATATATCCAAGATAATAAAGCAACAAGCCGGTTGACAAGAATATGTACTTGGTTACAATATGGATTTTCATTTTTTGGCTTTTTGACCCCAATAAATAAAAAAAATAAAAAATACACAAAATAAATTAAAATTTTTTTTTTTTTACCAAACTAGGTGATTTCGGACAGTGTGGTGCCACGTGGATGAGAAAACGCAGGGGGGAAGGCGTTTTTCAGAAAAAGCCTCCCCGCTATGCGCCTTGTATGGGTGACGTGGCACCTGACACACGTGGAGGAAGAAAGAGCAGGGGGTAGGCGTTTTTCAAAAGGAGCCTCCCCTCAGGCGCCTTCTGTTGAGGTGATGACATGTGGCAGGTTGGAGAAGAAAGAGTAGGGGGGGCAGGCGCCATCTATTCTACGTTTGACACGTGGCACACCTTCCCCCATTTTCTGATTTAATGTGAGTCCCCCATTTTTAAATTTGTTTATTTATGTACTTATTTAATTAAAAATATAAAAATTAAGTTTTTAAAATGAAAGGTTAATATTTAAAAAATAAATAATATACAAAAATGGTGTCGCTGTCCATAAGGACATCTATTTTTCTAGTTTTTTAGTTTTTATTTTATTTACTTATAATAATATAATTTAATTTAAATTATTTAGTTTGTGTACTTTTAATTAAAAATATAAAAACGAAAATTTAAAAATAAAATGTGATTATTTGCAAAAAAAAATTATACAAAAGAAAAATATAAAAAAACAAAAATAATAGAAATGTAAAATAAAAATAATAAACTGATTTATTTATTATATATTTATAAAAATAAAATTAAGTTTTTAAAAAATATAATTTTAAATTAAATTATATGAATTTTTTTAAAGAGGCGTTATGGGTCATAGCGACTTGGTGTCGCTGTGGGCCATAGCGCCAACCATTTTGTATAATTATTTTTTTTTGCAAATAATCACGTTTTATTTTTAAATTTTCGTTTTTATATTTTTAATTAAAAGTACACAAACTAAATAATTTAAATAAAATTATATTATTATAAGTAAATAAAATAAAAACTAAAAAACTAGAAAAATAGATGTCCTTATGGACAGCGACACCATTTTTGTATATTATTTATTTTTTAAATATTAACCTTTCATTTTAAAAGCTTAATTTTTATATTTTTAATTAAATAAGTATAGAAATAAACAAATTTAAAAATGGGGGACTCACATTTAATCAGAAAATGGGGGAAGGTGTGCCACGTGTCAAACGTAGAACAGATGGCGCTTGGGTCCCCTACTCTTTCTTCTCCAACCTGCCACATGTCATCACCTCAACAGAAGGCGCCTGGGCGGGAGGCTCCTTCTGAAAAACGCCTATCCCCTGCTCTTTCTTCTCCACGTGTGCTAGGTGCCACATCAGCCATACAAGGCGCATGGGGGAGGCTTTTTCTGAAAAACGCCCACTCCTGCGTTTTCTGATCCACGTGGCGCCACGCTGTCCAAAATCACCTATTTTAATAAAATTTTTTTTTTTTATAATTTATTTCGTGTTTTTTTTATTCGGGTCAAAAGGCCTCATTTTTTCCCCTTAGTTATGCCTTAAAAAATAATAACTTTTTAGGAATGATTGTTCGAACTTGGTAAGTGAGGAGAATAAGAGTTCGTTTATATTTGCTAGTCAGAAAATAGTTTTTTTTTTTTTTAACTGATTTAGATAATGAAAAAGACTAATAGTTCAAATTTCCTTTGGACATTGCCTAGGATGTTTCAATGGGAGTTGCAACGGTCAAGTTCAAAAGACATAACGTGTTTCTACTTTTATTGGCCAAATTCGTGCTTATTCATTCGGGAACTGCTATGGTACCCATAAAAACTAAAAAGTTTTAGTACATCATATTATGTGAATAAATAAATTTTAAAAAATAAATTCAAAACAACATAAATTTTAAATTAAAAATTTATATAAAATAAATCAATCAAAAAAACTAATTCAAAACAAAATAATCAAAAGGTCAATTTTCATAACAAATTTTATTTATATCTGACCAAATTAAAAATTAAAAACAAAAAATTATAATAATATTATAAAAACATTAAAAAAAATATATATATATAACTAAAAAATAATTTATACCATAAATTTAAAAAAGTTATTATAAAAAAAAATTAAAATATACTAACAAAATATTAATATTAAACTTTTTAATTATAATAGATGTTATATTAAGAAATAAATTAAAAAATATAAAAATCATATAAAGATACAAATAAATTATTAAAAATATTAAATTAAAATAAAAATAAAACAAATAATTATAAATAAATAAAAATAAAAACAAAATAACTGTTCCGATACTCCACAGTGGATACAGTACAATTTCTCTATTCTTTATACATGTTAAATGAGTCTTGTACTGAAATCTTCCGTATCTTTCCACAAGATGCCTCAATGAATTGTGGGGGACAATATATATATTACATTGTAGACATTGAAACCAATAATTGGCACCCATATTTAAATAATATTTTGCCTCCTCCCCCAATCAATATGGACTTTTTGGTCAATATAGGTCGACAATGTACGCGTGTCGTCACGACCAACTTTTTATTCTCATACCATCTCTGGGAAATGCTGAAACCATCCATGCGATAAATACGAAAGTGATATGAACATTGTGAGGTAACCTCATAATTAATTTGCATGAATATTATAACTTGAAAGTTTTTACGTACGCTACCTACTAAAACCAGTTCTATTCTTTTCTTTCGTTTTGGTGTTTTTTACATACAAATTTTGGAATAATAAACTACTTAATTTTATTTTCTGAATCTCATTATAAGCCAGGATTTATTTTTATAAATCATTTTCAAAAATGTTAATTTTTATAAATTAAGTCACAATTAATTCGTTTATTAACATATTTATAGCTCACAATTTATATTTTAATTGCATTCTCATTTTAATATTCAATATATGCCTTATATGTATATATACATATATCTTGTTTCTATGTGAACCAATAGGGTCAGCTTGGTAATAAGAGAATTGGAGTAGTATGTTCAAAGTCCTAAGTTTTAACTCTCTTTCTTTCTGTGAATAAAAAAATCTTGTTTCCGATATTCTTATTGATAATTATCTCACAAATTAAAAATATATATAAAATATTTTTAATGTTATAATTAGTAATATATATTTCATTTGCAGCATTGTATTCTATGTGTCTTCCCACGTGTGCATTTTATATATAACCTGATCCATATATATATATATATATATATTAGTATAAAAAATGACAAAAAAATGAAGTGTTTTAGGAATTGACTACAAGTGGAACAAAAAGAATGTTCACACTTTGATTAAATTTAAATATATTAGTATGATGTCAATTTGATATTACTAGTGTGAATTTACTTTGTTTTTTAATGGTTACAGTGTGAATTTACTTTACATCAAATATTAAAAGAAGATAGAACATTTGCAACAAAATGAAACCATAAACACCTTACTTTACTTTCTATCTCTAAGTTTCATTGAACTTCACGTCCCTGGCCTATATATATATATATATATAAACTTAACTTTCCAATTTAGTAAAGGCCATACAGTGTGTATTTATGCATATTGGTCTGTTTTAAAAAAGAAAACCATTACTTTTTTTATTTCTAATCAATTACACAATTAATATATTCATAAATTTCGTTGTTAATTTTGTTTTTTGTGTGAAAACTCTTTAGTTTAACCAACTTATTTCAGCAATTAATACTCGAAAGAAAAATGTGAACCAAATGGTACTAGTGCAGTACCGCTTAATGTTACCCATTTTGCAAGAAAACGTACATATGCTTTCTGTGGGCGTCATTACAGTATTAAAACCTAATTTGTATCATTGCTATCTTTATTCTGCTGCAAAGAAAAAGTTATTCTACTGGCCATCCAACCAAACCATGCTGCTTCATGTGCAACATCAGCTTTGGTCAATATATATGTATACCAAAGGAAAAAGGAAAAGGTTAAATTTAAGAGGCAAGTTGGCATGATATTATATCATCACCTCATGATGTCCTCTGCCAGTTTTATAAAGCAGGTGAACTTAATTGAATAAGGAAATATTATAATAAACATTAAATCTAAAAAGGCTGCTAAGAAAATTAGGACATAAAGACAAAAGGTAGTCATCAAAACAAAATAAAAATAAAAATAAAAATAAAAAAACCCAGCTGAATTTTATTCCAGTTTCACCCTTACATGATGATTAGACTAAATTTTGACAAAGGGGAGGATGTACATATGACAGGTGAGGAAATTTACAACAAATTGAGGAATATGATGCGGGGGCATGCAATTTAATTATTACCTTATCTCAAATATTAATGGTAGATGATTTTTTTAGGGAATATTTACATGAATTCTTGCAGAAAGAAACTGAGTATGAAAAACTTCATATTTTGACACCCCACGTCATGCTTGAAGGTTCTATCAAGTAGCCCAAATTAAAGTGAAAGGAACAAAGAAAAAAGAGAGGAGCACAAACATGAAAAAAGGAAATTGGCCTACTTGAGTAAGGAAACTTGTTAATATGATTCCCATAAAAAAGGCTCTTCAAGCCGGAAACCCTGTTCGGCTCCGGCTACAAGCCAAGCCGATGAATAATGAAACTCATCAGCACCACCATGGGTCAAGTCAAGAGAGAGATCAGGAAGGTCCAAGAATGTGTCATCCTCACCGTTCAATGAACAATTGGAAGATGATGAAGCTTGTGTGAGGCTTGAGGAGGAAACGGCTCGGCTCAGCTCCGACTCGGCTTCATGGCTCCGGTGGCCGAAATCAAGCACAGCGGCTTTGGCCGCCGCGACTTGGATGTCCTTAGGGGAGGTGGTGGCGGGGCGGGGCAGCTCGGCGGCTAATTCGGGGAAATTGAGGTAAGCCGAGCTGCCTTTGATGGTGAGAGCCGCGACGTCGTGGGCTCGAGCCGCCATATCCGGCGTGGGA